AGTAACCAAAAGCACAAAGACACCTAAGATCACCAGCAATGCTCAATAACAAGGCAACCAATGCCAAATTAGAGAGCGCAAATACTTAGCTACACAAACTAAGTAATGTGACCAATAAGGTTACACAAAACAAATTAGCCACGCAAGAGAGCTACTTCTATGCTACACAAGCCAGAAGATAACTAGCAAGCTACACAAGCTAACTAATTTCAAAAGCAACTACACAAGCATAATGTATATGAAAGTAATTACAAGCTTGTGTAACGAGGATGCAAACCAACGGTAATACAAGGATGACACGATGATTTTTCCCGAGGTTCACGTGCTTGCCAACACGCTAGTCGCTATTGAGACAAGCTTCAAGGTTGCCGCCAGTCCTCTTGCTAGTGGTGACCCACAAGTCACACTCTCCCACGTGGAGTGCTTACCATAAGCTCTAGCATTTGACCCGGCCGGACCACTTATCACCCTTCGTGTCTCGCTTTACTATAGTTGCTCTTCGTGGCTTTCGTGGGGCGAGCACAATGCCCCTCACAAAGATCTTCTCCGGAGCACAGCATAAGCTTCTTGTGGGCTTCGATGGAGACCACCACAAAGCCGTCTAGGTGGTGGCAACCTCCAAGAGTAACAAGCACCACCGGCTTACAAGACGACCACCTAGTGCCACTCGATGCAACCTCACGATGCAATCGCACTAGAATCACTCACTCACTCAATCGGATGAACACTATCAAGCTAGAGTGAGTTAAAAGGCTCCCAAGCACTATCACATAAGCCACCAAGGCTCTAGTGGCTCTAGTGTGCTTAGCCAACAGCCCAAGGCTGAGACCTCCTTCTATTTATAGCCCCCATGAAAATTGAGCCATTGTACCCCTTCATTGGGCATAGCTCGGGGTGACCAAACGCTCCGGTCAGATCGACCAGACGCGCTTGGTCCAGCTTCTGGTAACGGATGCACGCCACGCGTCGCCTCCGTTCAACCTTAGTCACTCGATCTCAACGGTCGGCTGTCTCGCGCCAACAGTCAAGTCGCGACTGGACGTAGCATAGTGAAATGACTGGACGCTGCTACTCCTAAGTCTGGTCGTTTCCAGAGAGGTCCCCGAGCCTCTATTTTGTGACCAAACGCGTCTGGTCCACCATGACCGGATGCAGACCAGTGTCCGATCGGTTCTACGCCCACGCGCCAAACTCCAGCGCCGCCTACATCACCATACATTAGCACTGACCGGATGCAGGCCCTGAGCGTCCGGTCACTCTTCGTGCCAGCGTCCAGTCACAAGACCGAGACCGCGCACTCACTGCTGCCACTGACCGGACGCGCCGGTCCTATCGAGGACAGCGTCCGGTCACTTATAGTGACCTCCTTTCACCTTCATTTCTTCACCGAGTTGACCCGTTTCAACTCTAACTTCATCTCCTTTGTAAATATGCCAACACCACCAAGTGTACACGATCATGTGTATGTGTGTTAGCATTTTCACAATCATTTTCTAAAGGATTAGCCACTCAACTTGCCACGCCACTCAATCTTAGCGACGATGCAAAGTTAGATCACTCGAGTGACAGTAGATAACCGATATACAAACAAGTTTGCCCCTCTTGATAGTACAACCATCTATCCTAAACCCAAATGCCCTAGGTTATACCTTTGCCTTGCGCATTCCATTCCATCTCCAATATCGATGCAACACATACACCAACATGATCAACAATGATGTGATCCACTTCATATCATCACGTGATCATATTGATTCATCGATCTTAACTTCACTTGCTTTTCACCGTTGCCTTCGTCCATCGGTGCCAAGTCTTGCTCAAGCTTCACCGCCACACGGTCCATCACTCTAAAGCCTCCAACTTGTCCTTCACGCTTGCAACCGGTCCATCAAGCCAAGTCTTGTCTTGATCTTCTCCACCTTTATCACATGACTCAATGTCATGTCTTATGTGCAATGAGCTCCTTCATCATCACATGTGTGAGCTTTGCAACATCTCCGAGCCATTTTCATCTTCATCGCATATGTTGTTCACATACATATACTTGTGGACTAATCACCTGTGTATCTCACATAAACACAATTAGTCTACCTATGTTGCCACTCAATTACCAAAACCATACAAGGACCTTTCAACAAGCCTGGTGAGGAGGAACTCATTGGTGTCTAGCCCGTGGACACCTAGGTGTGCTTGGATCTAGCGCACGTGCGAGAGGGAGCGGCAAGCCGAGAGGAGCGTGGCGAAGGCGATGGCCGGGATGCAGGATTGCAGCCACGTGGCTATCTGCACACCTTGACGCTACTCCCATGCCTAGAAGAACAAGAGGTGGGCGGCAGGAGCCACCGGGAGCTGCGGCCGGGCGCCCCCGAGACCCGCCGCCGGGAGCCGTGGACACCCGCTGCCAGGCACCGCCACCGCCCGCTCTCGATGCCGCGCCGCTTGCTCTGAGATGCCGCGTCGCCCGCCCCCAAGCCCCGGAGCCCTCACCGCGCGCCCTAGGCTGCATCGCCGCCGGGCACCGCGTCACCCTACACCGCACGAGCCCGTACCGCACCGCCGCCCGCTCCTGATGCGTGTGTTTGGACGAGTCGAGGAAGAGCTAGAAAGGGATAAGGGATAGTGTGGTCATTTGGGCTTTTTTTTTGGTTTTGAATTTTTTAATTCGTCTATTCCCTAGGTATTTGACAGTCATCCAAAAGAGGGACAGACGGACAGTTCAATCTCTACAACTAAAACATATGGATTGTCAACATCTACCCCGCAAGAGCAAAACACTCTTGCGATCTATATCCGGCAGGCAAATAATCACCACATCTCATGCGATCCATATCCGACAGGCAAATAATCACCGCATGGAGATACTAGAAGGCAAGTAAATAAAATAGAATAAAACTCACAGAATCACCGGTAGGCAAATAATTACCGCATTGAGACACTGGAAGGCAAGTAAATAAAATGGAGTAAAACGGAAAGAGAATTATGGGAAGAGAAAGGAATTTATTGGAATATCATCACGCAATGATCATGATCGTGATCCAAATCTCGTTTGTCGTCCTTCGCGTTGCGTGTTGACAACAAATAATTTTTTTCCAAAAAATAAATTATTGTCATGCCTCATGCGGGCTAGGATATTGTAAGTCCGAATATACATGTTTTGGCAAGGTAGAGCATGCTACAACTAAAACATACGGATTGTCAACATCTACCCAGCAGGATCAAAACACTCATGCGATCCATATCCGGCAGGCAAATAATTACCGCATCTCATGCGATCCATATCCGACAGGCAAATAATCACCGCATGAAGACACTGAAAGGCAAGTAAATAAAATGGAATAAAACTTCATGGAATCACCGGCAGGCAAATAATCACCGCATGGAGACACTGGAAGGTAAGTAAATAAAATAGAATAAAACAGAAAGAGAATTATGGGAAAAGAAAAAAATTTATTGGAATATCACCACGCAATGATCATGATCGTGATCTAAATCTCATTCGTCGTCCTTCGCATCGCGTGTTGACAACAAATATTTTTTTCCCTAAAAAATGAATTAGTGCCATGCCTCATGTGGGTTAGGATATTGTAAGTCCGAGTATACATATTTTGGCAAGGCAGAGCAGGAATAAATTCAATTCGATGCCTATCAATAAATTTTCAGCCTTTGAGGTAACTTATGTTTGTCGTAACTTTCAGACAATAAGCTCCAAACCTAACTTTTATTTCATATTCATTACGATAATGAATGTGTTTCTAGACATTATCGTGGTATAATACACGTGAAAAATTGAATTGATATATTATTAATTTTGACTTGGCTAGCAAATATCTCATTCAATTTATGTTGCACCCGTTGCAACGCACGGGCACTCATCTAGTTCAAAATAATAAGGATAAAAACATAAAGTTGAAAAAACAGGGCAAAATCACAATTAAAGTAATGGACAAGGGCAAGAACATAATTTTCCCTTATAATAAACAATATTTTTTTTGTTTGAAATTATAAGATGTTTTGACTTTTTTAGATGCGTAGCTTTTGCTAGGTATCTATGTATTCACTAGGTATAAATATATAATAAAAATAATGTACTTAGAAAGATAAAACATCTTATAATTTAAAACAGAGAGAGTATTAATATTTGCATCTTCAATCTATCTACATAAAAAATGACTCTAAAGCAATCATCTACCCGGTAATACCAAATCTGTATTCTATCCGGTCGGCGTTCCTGCACAAAAGTCCAAAGTCCACACGCCTTCGCGCCTCCGCGCTAGAAGTCCAAAATCGCAAAACGGCCGGCACGAGTGTGCCTACGGTCACAGTGCGTGTCGGAACAAACTTCTGCAGAGTTCGCTTTGAAGACAGTCGGCGGCCTCATCACATTATTTATAAAATAGAAAGCACGTGCTCTCGCACAGGAGATCAAAGGTGAGCCTAATTTCTGGATCTCTCAATCAAAAACTATTCATTATTTCTTTTTATTTTTTTAAGATCCGATTTCATACCTAGATGTTACCTGCCTTATGATTTGAAATTATAAAACACTGACAAATTGTAAAGATCTGTTGATGCTACTCAGTGCCTGAAGTTGTTTCGATACGAAGACCGGATCCACGTGTCTGTATTCGATATAAAATCCTCGAAGCTCATGCGCCTGCGTCCGCGTCCACGGTAAAAAAATTATAGTCCCGTTGCAACACACAAGTATTTATGTAGTATATTATAAAGATATAGATTTCGTGATTAATATAATCACAGTTGTTATATGCCATAAATATTAGTATGGTTTTATTATATAAGTATATTGGTCAATCTTAAAATTATTGTCCTCGTGAAATAAAACCTCTCTTTATGCGTTGGCAAGCGCTAGGGTTCTCTCCCTGTCTGTTCCTAGTTCCTACTGGGACGAAACCAAATCCAAACCCACCTGAGTAGAGGGGAAAGTGAAGGAAGGGGCCGCCAGGCTTAGGGTTTCTCGACGGCTCCTTGCCCTCTCCGCCATGGACGCACAGCGAGCCCTCCTTGACGAGCTCATGGGCACAGGTAAGTACCCACCAGATCCCCCTCGCCCGAACGGCGCCTTCCCATGCCGTAACCCTACCCCTAACCCTAACCGCGCGGCGGGTGCTGTCGTTTGCAGCTCGTAACCTAACGGAGGAGGAGAAGAAGGGGCACAAGGAGCTGAAGTGGGACGATCCGGACGTGTGCGGCCCCTACATGGTCCGGTTCTGTCCCCACGACCTCTTCGTCAACACCAAGAGCAATCTCGGTACGGCCGTTCCTTCGTTTCTTTTTTTTAATGCGTTTTGCGGTGGATTTATTTTACTCATCATAAGTTCGGTTGGGTGTTTGCAGGGCCGTGCTCGAGGATCCATGATCTGAAGCTCAAGGAAAGGTGATACCGATTGTGATGCTTAATTGATTGAGATGTAAAGAAATAAAAATCAACAGGCTTATTGTTAAAAAAATACAGTATGATTTTGTTGATGTAATCTCTTAGTAACGAGTTATGTTTAGGAAGCAAAGTAGGGTATTGGATAGACTGTAACTAGGAATAGAGAGACCTTGCTATTGGGAGCCTTATGGCATGACACCAAAGTATAATAGATGATTGTGTTATATGAATTGCTAGAATGGTAGAGTCGAGCTAGTTTTTAGTTGTGAGGATTAGGCCGTCTTATGTTCCTGTTAGGCCACAATTTTTAGTTTGATTGGCACATCTTTTGTGTGAAATTAGACAGCACATTAGAACTGTTCTGTGGATCTTCCTCCCTGGGCTCTTAAAGCAATTAATAAAATTAGAAGGGGCTTTCTTTGGAGAGGAAGAAGGGATGCGAAGGGGGGACACTGCCTGTTGGCCTGGCCTAAGGTTACTCGGCCACCAGAACTCGGAGGCCTTGGTATTTCCCAGCTGCAGCAGCTGGGATGGGCTCCGGATGCGTTGGTTGTGGCTGCAGAAAACTGAACCTGATAGGCCCTGGGCGGCTTTCCAGATCCAAGTGCACCCTGCGGTCAAAGCTTTCTTTGGAGTGGCCATTGTCTCAGAAGTTGGCAATGGCAAGAACACAATTTTTTGGACCGACAGGTGGCTGTATGGACAGAGCCTGGATCAATTAGTGCCTACTCTTTTTGGATCAGTCAACAACAAAGCAAGGAAAAGGACAATGTATGAAGCCCTTACCGAGATGAAATGGGTGCAGGACATATGGGGTGCCACTACAGTACCCGTGTTGATAGAATTTTTCAAATTGTGGGACCTTCTCTCGGGTTTGACTTTGCAACCTGAAGTAGATGATGCTCATATATGTCAATTCTCTAGTTCAGGAGTGTACTCTGCTAAATCTGCATATGAGGGATTTTTTATTGGGGCTGTGCAGTTTGGGCCTTGGGAAAGAATCTGGAAGAGCTGGGCACCAGGCAAATGCAAGTTCTTCATGTGGTTAGTGGCACACAATAGGTGCTGGACTGCAGATCGTCTTGCTAAAAGAGGTCTGCCCCATCCTGAACGCTGCCCGTTCTGTGATCAAGCTGAGGAAACGATTGAACACCTATTGATCTCATGTGTCTTCTCCCGGCAAGTATGGTACAACATTCTACATAAGGTCAGCCTGCAGGACCTCTCCCCCCAGCCTGATGACAACTCCTTTGATGCATGGTGGGCAAGAACTAATTCTGGGGTTGATGACCAGACTAAAAAAGGTCTCAATTCCATCATCATTCTGGGAGCTTGGTCCATTTGGAATCATCGCAATCGCTGTGTGCTTGATGGGATTCAACCGAGCCTAAATAGTGTTCTGGTTTCAGTAAAAGATGAGTTTCTCCTGTGGAGTTTGGCCGGAGCTCGGGGAATATCCAATCTCCTTGCTCTAGAGCCTGCCAATGTGTGAATTCCTCTCTAGTGGTCTTGGGTCAAGTTTGAATTTTGAGAGAGAGGTACAATATTAGATGTAAAAGGGTGTGTGTAGGTGTGTGGCTGTATGGGGTTTCTAAACCCACTCCTTTATTCTTCTTAATATAATGATACGCAGCTCTCCTGCGTGTTCGAGAAAAAAAAAAATGATTGTGATTGTGCCCACCCCCCCCCCACATCCATCCAGTCTAAAAAGAAATAGTTGCTCCAGGCTAAATTACACATCATACAGCAACAATGTTCTCAATTTTAAAAGTATGTTACATTTTTATATCAAGACATCAAAAAAATTGCTCAGCGCAATATTGAGAGAAATTTGATCTTATCTGGTGAAGAAGCAAGGTTGAATGCGTATTAACAAAGCGTTCAGAAATGTGCCTAGGTATTCTAAATGTTATATTTTGTGTAAATTAAAATCCTTAGGTGAATTAAGTGAGAGTTGCATTAGATTAAAATTTAAGAGATAGCTGCCCAGCCTTTATAGTTTATAGTTGGCAAATAGGATATAATTAGCACCCTCATTCCCAATTGACACCTAGCCATGCTGTATTCTCGTGAAATGATAGTGACTTTTGACTTCAACTAGCAGGATTTTTCTTTAATCCAGATGAACATAAATGAACATGTCATATGTGTAGTTCATTTAGCCATGCTGAATTTCATGCTATTGTTTGGCAGTTTGGGATACTTTTAAGGGTTCTGACAGTTTGTAGATTTTCTTGTTTTGTGATCTCATGCAAGTTTTAACAGTTCCATCTGACGAATAATTCTAAAACAATTATACCATGTTACCAACATTGAGTAATGCTCCCGTAAAACAAGCAAACCAAGTTACTAACAATAATTTGAATAAATGTTAGCTCACAACAGAGACACTAAGGTAATAGCTATCGGTTCAGATTGAATGCTTTAATTACTCGGGACAAGAAATTAATATTTTTTACCTTCAGTTGGTGAGGTGGGCGTTATACTGTACTGGCTTGGCTTTGCAACTTCAGTTTCATCCGTACAGATTGCTTGGAACCAGTAATTCACCTCCATATGATTATGTGTTTAGCTATATAGGGTAGATATTCAACAATCTATTTGTATCTCACAATCTCACGTGGGTTTCGGATATGTGCAGCTTTGAGAAGTCTCCCAGGCATGATACTTATATGCGAAGGTTTGAGGCAGAGCTTGCACAACATTGTGAGAAATTGGTGAGTCACCTCTTGCTCTTGCAAAAATTTCCTAGTAGTACATTTACCTTTGTTTATTCTATTGCAGGTAATGGATTTGGATAGAAAGATAAGGCGTGGTCAAGAAAGGTTGGCTCATGATTCTGCTGTGCCAATGCCAATCCCTGGAAAAATAGCTGAGCAGCTTTCAGTGCGAGAAGAACAGGTCAAGAAGTTGCTGGAGCAAATCGAGGAGCTTGGTGAGGCTAGTAAAGTGGATGAAGCTGAGGCACTTATGAGAAGGGTACAACATCCATCTTGTTCCTTTATTATGTTTGAACACTACTTCATCAATTTGTGAAATTCTCACTTAAATTTTGCTTTGCAGGTTGACATTCTAAACGCTGAGAAGACAGCTTTAGCTAACCAAGCAGACAACAAAGTGGCTATGCTTGAGAAGAAGATGGAACTTTGCGAAACATGTGGATCATTCTTAGTTGCTGATGATGCTCTTGAGAGAACGCAGTCCCACGTGACTGGGAAACAACACATTGGTTATGGTATGGTTAGAGATTTCCTGGCGGAATACAAGGTGAATTATCACTTCACTTCACTAGAAGCGTGAATACTGATTTAATTTATTGAGTACTTATGGTGGTTGTATCTAATCCAGGCGGCAAAAGAGAAGACAAAAGAGGAAGAGAGGCTTGCAAGGGAGCAGAAAGCAGAGGAGCGTCGGAAACAGAGGGGAAAAGAGTATGATAGTGGGGGCAGGGATAGAGATACCAGAAGGGAGAGGTCTGGGGAACGTGACTATGACCGTGATCTTCAGTATGAGCGAAGCCGTGGAAGAGACGGGCCCTATGTTTACAGAGAGAGAGGATCAGAGCACCGAAGCAATCCCTACAGAAATGGGAGGGATTCTGAAAGAGGCGGACACAGATACAGGAGTGGTGATATGACAAACGACCGAGGGAGAATGAGGAGCAGATCACGTTCTCCAACCAGGCATGGCTATGGAAGATCTAGAAGTCCAGATCATTAGCTGAACATTTAGATAGTTTTATTCACAGTTGGGACTCATGAGGTAGACCGTTCCCTTCTGCTATTAATTACTGTACAATGGGTTTTATTGCAGTGTCGCACTTGTTTAAGTCTCTGCTCTGCTGTAACAGCTCTGTTGGAACCCTACAATCTTCCTTTTTTACATGGGAAAAAAATTCTCAGGTAGGTATCGATTGTCATTCCCACAATTTTTGTGCTTCTGATATTCTATATGTATGCTGAAGCTTTGTTTCGATATTTGGAATCGAAAGTTAAATTAGTAAGGCCGGTACTGGACTTCATAGATGGATGATGATGTTTACAGCCTATAGCAGGTAAACCTTGAACATCAATGTTTCATGTTACACACTTTTTATTTCCCTTGATAACTCTGCTAGAAACCTTAGTTCTGCTCTTTGGCTTAGATTTTTACACTACTCAGGCCAGGTATCTTTTTCTACCAAAATTTATGTGCATAATTATGAGTTATGTACCTTTAATAGTTGACTAGTTGTCAATTTGTCATGAAGTAGTATTGTGTTCAGGAAGAACAATCAGACAAAATGATCCACCTGTCATTGCCAATCATCAACAATTTCTTTTTCTGGAACCATTGTAGTGTCCAAGAGATCAAGGTTTGGTTTGTACATAATGGTGCCCTGGTTAGAACCACGAGGATTGGGCCTATTTCCTGACTGTTTAGTTATTGGCTCGAAGTCTAGTTTAGAGAAGATTCTGTTTCCGCAGCAAAATATTAGATAACTTGGCAGTTGCGGAGTCCTGTAGTTGGTGTGCTATTTGAGCAGAGTGTATTCTAACTATGCAAACTAATAGATGATCGGCTTCAGTGTTTTTGACATATTAATTATGTTTTGGATCAGTTGGCGTCACGATCTCGTTGGAGCAATTTCTACTGATGTTATGTTGTTTGCATGACATTCCTGCGCCTTTTTTTTTCACTTGACATAATACAGTAACATACTTTGCCATAATTGAGTTGTGCGTGGATGTCTTCGACGAGACTGAGGTCTCAAATTAGTTGCTCCAAGTCCTGAGGTAACCACTGTGCCCCTTTTTGGTGAATAGTTGCCAATGCAAATGATAGAGAAGGTTAGGCCAGATTCTCTCGTAATTGGGTACTAAGGCAGCGATCGCCCAAGCATGTGTCCATTTGATTTCCTATGTTGATAACTGAAAAGAGGATGTGCTTAGGCGTGAATGTTCAAGGTTGGTTCAAAACCGTTCAACCCGTGAACCCAAAGCAGACTGGACCGGGTGAAGATGGTCTGCTCAGGTTTGCCCGGTTTCTGGTTTGAATTTGAACCCGCATGTGTGTTGGAACGGGTTGGGTTCAGCACGTATTGAAAACCGTGAAACCAGCTAAACCCGTCCCTATTCGTGTTTGCGCTCCTCATAGCATCGCCGCCGTGGCCATAGCGTACCCTGCACCACACGCGTGTTTAGGTGCGGTCGGTGAATGAGCCTTGCCCACAGCCGGCAGTCTTGCGTTGACGGTGTTGGCGTGGTCGAGAGGCTACAGTTTGCTCATCATGGCTTTGGCGCGGGCGTCGTGCTCGTGCGTGGTCTCGCTCTGCTCGTGGGTCGACTCCATACGCCGCAGCGCCGGTACAACGCCCTGCAGCCTGTAGGTAGTCTCATACGAACTGAGTTGTTCCCTCGCGGAATGAATAGATATAATCAAAATCCTTATACCTTATAAGAGCAAGTATATTGATGTTGTCTTGCAGTCAAATCTCAGGTAGCCCTACATGATTTCAAGGCAACTTAATAGATAATATGTACAATTGTTGTTTTTAAGTAATCTAGTAGTAACTCACAATTTCTTAATGGGGCTTAAGGGTTTCTACCCCTGTTTTGATGACCATGTGTGATTTTGCTCTCGTTTTTTTAACTTTATGATTTTGCCCCTACTAGTTTTAAACGAAGGAAGAGTTTACCCCTGGTATGTTAAGTGCCTCTAATGGTGTTAACTTTTGAACAAAATGACAATTTTACTCATGCGTTTTTACCCCTGTTTTATTATGTTATTTATGTTTTTACCCCTAGTTTCAGACAACCAGTTGACATTTTTATACAGAATTTTTAGAAAATTTCGACAGCATTTCAGCTGATAATCCACATTAACACAATTTAATATCACACAACTAGTATATATAAATCAGATCCATGCAACATGTCACCATAGTACCATAGTAGAAGCCAACATATAGGTCCAAATGATATGTCAAACACTAACGTATAGGTCTAAATAACATGTCAAATAAAAGTAAGAGCTACTAGTGAGTTCTATAGGCAACTAGTAGTGAGCTACATATCAAGCATCGAAACCCAACAAAGTAGCAAGCCTCCCACAAGTTGCTGCTCTTTCGCTCCTCCCTGTTCCCCTTCCCGAAACACTTGCACTTTATATGAAAAAGAGAAGAATTATGTTAGTAAAGTTATTAAAATATATAGTAAAGAGAAGCAATATTGGCTTGTCTTACTTTATCTCATTGTTGGCCTCTGCTGACCCTCTTCCTCTTCCCCTTCCCCTTTCCCTTTCTTTTGCAGCTGCAGTACCACTTGCACTTGCACTAGCACTAACACTAGCACTTGCGCTTGCACTTAATGTTTGTTAGAAAAAAATGTTAGTACAAGTAAATATGAATAATTGGGATAAATAAATGGAATTGGACATCAATGCATGTATGACTCACATTGGGTCATTGCTTCCTTGTCCTGATCCATCTTGTGGTGTTGACTGTCTCTTCTTTTGACTAGCTGTCGGACCTCCTTGGCAAGTCTTGGCTGTATGTCCTAGTTCATTGCATTCAGAACACATCTTCCTTTTCTTAGTAGTAGCAACTTCATCACGTGGCTTGATTCTAGATTTTCTTGGCCTCCCAGGTTTCCTTCTTATTTTGGGTTTCTTGATTTTGTAGTCTAAATCAACATGAGGCCATTGATCTTTGGATGTCATTGGATTGAATTTACTTGCATATACCTTTCTAAACCTATCAACAGAGAAGTATTCAAGGACAAATTGATCCATCTGTACCTCCCTACTTATTTTTGCAATGAAAGCCAAAGCATGACTGCATGGTTTTCTAGTCACTTGCCAAGCCTGACAGCTACAAGTCTTTTCATCCAAGTTCGCTGCATGCCTGAATCTATTCATAGTTACTTCAGCTTTTGCAGGCCCACATTTTAGAACCTCATGGTACTTGATACTCTTTGTTTTAGCATTCAAATTACTGATAATAGCTGGGATTATAATGCCTGACATATTACTACCAATCTTAGACCTCGAAATGAACTTCTCAATGATCATTTGTCTAATATGGTCAAGCATTTCTACAATATGAAAGTCCTTAGTTTTTGACACTCAACTATTAAAATATTCAGAGAGGTTGTTAGCTTGAGGGGGGGGGGGGTGAATAGGCATGTTAAAACAAACACTCAAACTTTCGTCAAATTCAACCTGCTGCACTGCCGCTCTGTGCCCACGGCACTGTCGAGCCAGAACAGCGGCACTGCCGCACCTGCATACAACTTCATGGCACAATTCAAAATCTGTGAATGAAAACTTGAATCGAATAAATTACTGAGCTTCCTGCAGGTGTATGTAACACAGATCAACAACTAGAAGTGATAGGAACACCACACACAAGTAGATCAGCCACAAACCCTAGAAATCAGTTCAACAACAATATGAAATGTAAATGATGTAAATTAAGCACAAGGTGACACGATGATTTATCTCGTGGTTCAGCTCGCCACTAAGGCTTGCCTAAGTCCACGTTGTTGAGGTTAACCATTAAGGCTTAGGGCTTTGCAACCCTTCCTCGTTCTCAAGTCAATAGACTCAACTCTTGAGATGAGGGGTGAGTTTACTAGCTTCAAGAGATGGTTACAAACCTTTCGGGGTTGCCACACAAGTTGGCAAGCTCTATGGGCGACGCTCTAGCCGGCTAGGAGCAAAGCTCCAAGAGTAATAAACACAACCGTCGACCAAAACATGAACCAAGTGCTCTTTTGAGTTGAGGAATCAAAGGATCTCCTCTCTAATCGAGTTTGGGACCTTTTTCTCTCAAGGATTGATGGGAAAATCTATGGAGAAGCTTGGGAGCTCAAGGTCACCAATAGAGGAGAGAGAGATGAGCACTCTGCTGTGTTCTGGTCGAACTGAACGGTTGGAAGAAGAGAGAGACGTTGGGGAGGAAGGGAAAAGGTATAAATATCCCTAGCCCCCAACGATCACTTAAGTCATCCGGCAGGTGTCAGTGGCTCAAATCTTGGCAGATGCCGCTCTGCTGGCGATGCCTCTCTTCATGTCTTGACAACTGTCGCACTGTGCAAGATAACAAGGGTAAGAGTGAAGTGCTAGCTATCTTGGCTGTGAAACTGAGGGTATATGTGTAGGATTGAGCACTTGGTAGCACATGTTGCCTTAAGCATTGTGTCTCCCTTTATAGTATGACTTTTCTTGTACTCAAATTCAAAATATAAAAGAATTTAAACCTCCTTTGAGTTTGAAGCTATCAACATTTTTAATCGGGGGCTCCTCTGTTTCGTGTAACATCCTCAAATATAGATTCTCTGCTTGTCATATCGATAAATCTCATTAGTTCTCTAATTGTGTGGTCATTATCACCAAAATCCACAATTAGGGCTGGATTACACTTTTAATCTCCCCCTTTTTGGTGATTGATGACAACCCATGTCGGTGTAGAAAGTGATCAACACGTAAATATTTGTAGTTTTGCTGTACATTGTGATCGGATGTGGCCTAGCACTCAATGACACAGGGTTTATACTGGTTCAGGCAACGTGCCCTATGTCCAGTTTAAGTCGGTCGATGACTTTATTCCTGAGACCAGGTGCTCGAAGTTTGCTGTGGGGTTATAAACGGATGAGAGAAATATGGGGGGTACAAGAGGTCCGGTCGGACTCTGGTCTGAAGGGCCGAGAGTGACGGGAGCTCCGCTATGTGCTAAGTAT